TCCCGGCGCGACCGCAGCCGGTCGCGTGACCGAGGCTCTTTGGGGGGGAGGCAGGTGGAAAGTCATCCGTTGCCTACCAGAAGGACCCCAACAAAACACAGAGAAAGAGAGAAAGGAAATATAAACACACGTTTTGAGTTGGTTGCGGTTGGTGTTGTTGTTGTTGTTGGTGGTGGTGGTGGTGGTGGTCTTTTTAATTTTATTACATACATTATACCTCGTTATACCTTCTCTCATGTTCTTTGTTGGAAGATCATGCTGGACTTGGTGAGGTGACACCTGCAAAAGAACACCTACTCAGTGAAGGAAGGTATAGTCTGAACCTGCACGGCCACTTTTAATGACGATGCTTGTCTTCAGGGTGCCCTTAGAGTGACGACACCTTCAACCCACTGGGTGTTCTAGCATAGCAGCATAAACTACCTCTGAGAAGTTGGAGTGGTCATTCAGCAACAACAACAACAACAACAACCAGGTACGAACAAAAACTGCAGCCCCGTTACAACATATTCTCTACAAGGGGGTGGAAACAAAATCTGCAGCCCCATCGTTGCTTTTTTGGCCCCCCCCGAAAACAACCAGCCAACACGTACTTTTACCAGTAATGGTAGTGCTTGTACTAGTGCTAGTACTAGTGGTACTGGTACTAGTAGTAGTCGTTGTTGTAGTAGTCGTAGGTGGAGTAGTAGTAGTAGTAGTAGTAGTAGCAGCAGCAGGAGTAGTAGTAGTAGTAGTAGTAGTACTAGTAGTAGTAACCGGTCAGCTAAGCCTCTGTAAAACTTCTACAAAGAACCTCGACCACATCCTAGAAACAAACAACTGCAGCCCAGCCCCGTTGTTGTTTTTTGGAGCACCCCCTCAAAAGGTGTTGTTGTCTCTACCCCCTCCTAGAGACAAAGACTGCAGCCCCGTTGTTTCTTTTTGGACCCCCCCCCTGAACAACACATCAAAAACATTAAAAACGGACCAGCCCAGACTTCAGTTAAACAAGTCCAACAAGTCCACCTACTTACGAAACCAACAGTCGCTCAAACCTTCAACCGTATCCCTAACCTTGTCCCCCTTAAGTTCCAAAGTGGCAACATGTGACAATGATGTTGGACGGCTGTTTTTGTTTCTACCAACAACAACAACAACAACAAAGCATCGAGGCAACAACAAAGCTCCTATGAAGGTGGCTGCAAAAGAAGAAAGGGATGAGATCATGACCAATGCACTGCAGCTAAATCCACACCGCTCGCCGTGGGCCCGGCAGTCCCCCAAACCCCTTGAAGTCATTGCCATTGTCCCTGAAGTTGTTCTTTTATGTATGTCAATGAGGTGTTAGAGACATGTTTATGTCTTGAGATAATGTTAAAGTTGTTTGCTTTATGTCTTGAAGTAATTGTATTTGATACCCTTCATGTAACGTCAAAGACATGTGGGACTTTGTTCCCTCTCTCTCTCTCTCTTTACATGAAGCTTCTTTATTTGTGTCTTCTCGAACTTCTCGCCGTTGGAAAGAGGTTGAAGACCACCCCAATTGCCGGAGCGTTTGGTGTTCATTGAACACCAGCACGATGCATCATGTTTTCATCATGCCACAGCGGGAACTTGGCCAGTGTGTATTGATTCAGGATTTGCCAGGAAAGAGGACAGGTACCAGTCACCAAAGCGTGCATGTGACGGGGGCAATCTCCTAGCAGTGTCATGATCCTCACTGATCCTTCATGTCTTCGAAACCTTTGCACTTTTAGTATGGGTTCTACGCTCGCACGTGAACAGGAAAGCGGCAAGAGGAGCGAGCAAAGCAAAGGTGGGACCGGCTCAAGAGTGTGGAGTCATTGCCAGCCAGCCATGTGGATAGGCCAAACAAATAGTTCAGAAGTCACGAGTCTGGTTAGGTACTATGTTAGGTTGTGCTTCTGAGAGGACGATCATTTGGGCAGTTTGCTTGATCTTGCTTGTTTGATAGGGATAAGTTCTGTTTCTTTCTGGTGTTGCCATGTTGCTTGTTTCTTTCAGACGCGAACTTCAGACCTTGAGAATTTGCTTTGCTGCGCAGGTGTGCCACACCACGCATGTAAGTAGCGGGATTGGTCCCGGCAGGTGTAGCAGCAGCAGTCCAGAGAAAGTGATCCCAAAGGACTTTGGGCAGGGGAGATGGGGAGGGACAGAACCACCAGATACTTTTCAGGGCTGCATAGTGGCTATGAGAATAAAGCAAGCTTGAATGGACTGTTTTTTTTTCAGGGAATTGGAGATGTGTTTGCCTTGTGAAGTTTCAAACCCATACCCAACAGATCAATCAAGTGAGGTGTTTGAATTATAGTCAGCCACCAGGCCTGTTTTTGACCTGAGTTATGTCATGTGATTACCTTTCTTGAATCAAGCTGCTCTTTGTCCTTTGTCACACTAATATGTTTTAGTTTACAGTACATGAATGATGAATCTCCATTTGCTTGGGTTTTATAAAAGAAATCAAGATTCAACTTAGCAACGTGGCCCCAAGTGGTTAAAAGTACATACATGTATACATATCACGAAAGCTAGCGAAGCTAGCTGGAGTTACTCTTGCGATAGCAAGGTTTCTTTCGACCGGGTGCAAATCCTAACCCCTGATTTTTCAGGTCGAAGACCCCCCCCCTACCCC